TTCTACACTAGAAGAAACATATAGCCCAAAGTCTTACTCATTAATAACCATGATAATACCACACGGTTTGCACAGGGAAGGGGAAAAAAACGTTAGCTCTGATCTATCCCTTTAAGGAACTTACAGTCAATTTAAATACCAATAATGTCATACGGACAACAGATGAATACCATTCCTGACCAAAATAAGTTTAGTTTGGCCGTAGGAAGGATATTGTTTCTGGTTTTGAAGGTCCAAGATGCAGTTCCTAACTGAGAGAAAGATCTAAAAGCAAATGACAAGTCTATAACAAAAAAGAGAAAATAGGTGGAGTCTGAAGCTCTTAATATTGTGTATAACTTTCTTTTACAATTTTCTTATGTTTTCCTTTTATTTCCATGTGACTCTAGTACTTGATGGCTACCTAAAGAAAAAGCAGGTAAGACTAAATATATCCAATTAATAAATGTTAAAATATCACACACTGATTAACTTCTAACCTCTCAATAAAGAAGACATACAAGAAACTGATAATTCAATTTTTCCATTAATTTTAAGATTTTTAAAAGTAATCTCTACACCCAACCTGGCGCTCGAACTCAACCCCCAGATCAAGAGTCGCATGCTCTACCAACTGAGCAAGCCAGGCGCCCCATTTTTTCCATTAATATGAAATCTCTAAAAAAACATCATAAATGGCTAGTAATATTCAACTAATAGAAATTCAAAACACTGAGGGCGCTTGGGTGGCTCAGTTGGTTAAGCGACTGCCTTCAGCTCAGGTCATGATCCTGGAGTCCCAGGATCGAGTCCCACATCGGGCTCCCTGCTCAGCAGGAGTCCGCTTCTCCCTCTGACCCTCTTCCCTCTCGTGCCGTCTCTCATTCTCTCTTTCTCAAATAAATAAATAAAATCTTAAAAAAAAAAAATTCAAAACACTGAATTTCCTAGCTCACTCTAATTAAGGTACCATGAACAACAAAATACTGAGGTAATAGCACAAACAATAATGAATAATCCACAAATCAAGCCCTGAATAATCAAGAGTGGTCTATACCACCACTGTGAGGTTTTTTTTCTGAAGAGTACTGATACTATAAAGTCTTTATTTAGATATGACTGTTGGAATGGTCTTCTCCTTGCACCAAATCATGGTCCCAGGATTGTTCTCCTCTAAAACCACTAACTATTAATCTGTTAATATTCGTATTGTAACTGAAGGAATTATCTAAGTAGCACACAAGAGTTCTGAAGCTTGCCATCACATGTAGGATACACCCTAGACTCCTAAAAATCCCAACTTATTAAAAAAAAAATTTCTTAAAAAACAATTTTGTTTTTTACAAGGGAGCTGGAGAAGTATAGAGCTAATAAGTTCTAACCAACATGTCAGGCAATCTAGATGGTAAGTTGGAAATAAAGTGCTTGTTTTGTCTGCCTACCTGCAATGCCCTCTACCCACCCCTCAAGCATTTTATAAAACCAAATTTGCTGCAATCCTTAAATATACAATTTTTTAAAAGTAGTTCATAACTCTATTCTCCTAAGGGACATAAAGAATGCATCAGCTCTGAAAAGCAGAGAACACCAAATAAAATAAGTATTATGTGATACACTTTTCACATTCCTCTAAATAGCACAAATTTCTAGTGTACAAGTTCTGCCAGGTCAAATTATTTTGTTCAGTATATAGGGCATATTAACATTTATTTGGTAATTAGAAACCAAAGCAAACACAAAAGAAAAATGGAATTTATGAAGATGTGAGTCTCCCAGACGAGGTGTATTTTAAAAAGAAATATCATGACAAGGTCTAATAGATGTAGAAGAAATTATTACACTGGCCAACTCCCTATCCCAGTTAAATACTTGTTTTAAGGAGTTTCTAAGTATTAAAAATCCATTCAACCAATTAAAAGTAACTACCATGTACCAAACAGTGCTGGGCACTGGGGCATACAGTGGTGAACAGGAGAGATCCTTGCCCTTATCGAACTACTTATACCAATAAACATGAAAATGTGTTTCTACAAGAAGACACTTACCTGCTACCTAATATTATTATTTTTTTAAAGATTTTATTTATTTATTTGACAGAGAGAGAATGACAGATAGAAAGCACGAGAGGGAAGAGGGTCAGAGGGAGAAGCAGACTCCCCGCTGAGCAGGAAGCCCGATGTGGGACTCGATCCCGGGACTCCAGGATCATGACCTGAGCCGAAGGCAGTCGCTTAACCAACTGAGCCACCCAGGCGCCCGCTACCTAATATTATTAAATATAAATACTAAACTGCTTGTATCTGAGTTTTTACTATTTTAATCATTGTCTAAATAACCAATTTGCCACCAAAACATTTCTTCACAGCTCAGAAGATAAGTTGCTTTGTACTGTAAAGAAGGAGAAGCAATGGGTAAATTAGCATTGGGGTTTTTTTAAGAATGTAAACTTTATATGCAGGAAAGGCTATGAATTTTTTTCTTTTTAAATGTCTACAGCTATATATAAATACAATTTGGTTACCGCAAAGATTTACATTAAAAAACTTATAAACAAGGTCTTTAAATATACTTAATACCATTTGTCCTAAGTTGGAAAACCCAAAACTGTAATAATATGTAATGTTCAAATAAAAGTATGAGTTTAATGATCAAACTCACCACACCATTTCTGGCCTACTATAGGTTACTAATTTTTTAAAAAATATGCTCAAAGATCACAAGGTGGAGCTCTCACCTAGTGTCAAGGAAAAACTGAGTTTTTTTTTTTTAATCACATGTACCAATTCTCTGCAACTACTATAGAACAGTTAACATTCCAAAAGCTTTGAAAGATAAATCATAGAAATGAAATTTGCTTTAATTCTCAATCACTATGTTCCTTTTGAGGAAAAATATATCCAAAAACAATTAGCTTCTATTTCTCCTCACTGAAAACTAAGCAAACACATTTGTAGATAGGTTGAATATACTTTAAAACCACTTCCTTAGGCTCAAGTGTACAGTATACTGCCATTAAAGGTTTGTTAAATACATTCATATATAATTATTGAATTAAAAATGGGTGATTATATATTTTTAATTCTATGTATTAAATTCAAGTAAATGCTCTCAGCAGCACCGCTTTTGATATAAACAGATCTAAAAGCTAAAACTTGATCACCATAACTTTTCCAAATTATCTATAATAAATGTTTATGGCCTGTTACTCAGTTTACCTTACATGTTTAATTCAGTAACAAAAAAGCTTTCTTCTCTCACTTCCGAAAACATGTTGGACGCCAATTACTATAACATATAAACACAAACATATAAAAAATTATATAGTTATGCTTGCATCTTTAACTTCAAATGACTTGCTAATTCATTAAAATTATCCCCCGAAAAA